ATCTGAGAAGCTGAGTCACCCCCCTACCAATTGASAAACTAATAAATGGTTCACTTTTATAGGCGTTTAYGGAGAGCGCATTCMATTTATACAGAACAATTCATTTGACGTACAGATGACAAAAGAGGAAGAGAAAACGGACGAAAGTCAATCTAATGGTACATCAGGTATTGGAGAAACAAATGACCATTCTCGACGTTTCGCGTTTTACAGTAGTATTTGTTAACTCATCCTCGGGATCCTGGAGAATCTTCAAAGGCTTGTTCCTCGCTTAACGGACGAGCCCTAGGGTTCCCGAGGATGACCACAAGAAGGTTTGCTTTCTCCTTCATATCCTCATCGCAAAGAAGCAAATTGTCTTCCTTGTGAAGGTAGCCTGTTTGCTTATAAATTGCGCATTTTAAAGTGCACATGACACCTTTTAGAAAAACACTTTTATCCGAAAGTGTACACGATGCCAACTACTTCTGCGAAAAAAGAAATAGATTTTGAATTGTATTTTCTGAGTTATAGACATTTGAAAATTGAAAATGCAAATGAAGTGACGTCAACTAAGGAATTGGTCCAGACTTTTTACATTGTTTGCGCTATGCTGTTCTTGGTTGAAGAGCACAAATCATCAATCATAGTAATAATTGAGAGCTGAAAATGCTTTTTCCAATGTAACAAAAAGAATAACGTTCTCTTTCATGATTTTGTATATTAAATCATTCCTTAGTAGACGTCACTTCATTTGCATTTTCTAAGTTTTAATCGCCCATAACTTACAAAATACAATTTGAAATCAATTTCTTTCTTCGCAGATGAACTTAGCAGTATTTTCTCTTTTGGATGAGAGTGAATTTCTAATGGTGTCATGTGCACTTTAAGAGTTATTCCAAACTGAAATCTCGAAGTATTCTACTGTATTTTTTTGGTCCGGTATCCTTGCAATTGCGTGCTGTGAAATGCGCACGATTCGGTTTTTCACTATCTATCCAGTCTGTGGTATGATACAAGAAATATTAAAAATGACAGCCGCGCGATAAATAAACGTATTATATATATGTTATTCACCGGCTGGGAGGTTCGTATASGAAAACACTGCCAGAGGTCTTGACAGTACGGAACGAGCGCAGTGGCAAAAATTCTTGAAAAGTATTCCTTTCCTGGAGAGTCCTTTTTTCCTGAAATTTCTCGCTGGGAACCAGTTCTGACTTGCAGCTGGCTGGGACATAAGAACAGATATATTTCTCCCAGGAACTAACACGTCGACTCCTCCAATCACGACCATGCAACTTCAGTATAAAATATAAATCAAATAATATTTAGCTAAAAGTTTTTTTTATCTGTGTAGGACTCATTGAACCCAATAACGGYCTACTTCTTCTCTCATCGATTGCAAGTAAGATGAAAGACGACATGCCAACAAATCGGAAAAAAACCTTGTCATCTAAACCCAGTCCAAATGCTTCGAGGAAATCAAAAAAATCAKYAACGAAAAGGGAGTCAAACAACGGKTTTTGTAAGAAAGTTTTCATTTTGCCTGCCAATTCACTCTATTTGCCATCACAGTCCGACCTGTGTAAACTACGCATGTCTGGAGACTGCTATTCTAAAGTATTCTTCCATGGTGCAATGACTGAAGATGACGTCATGGACCAAATAAGGAAAACGTTCCCAGATTTGAAAGGTTTACGGTAAGCGAAAGTATCGATRAATGTTGATTCACGGATACAGGTCACGTGACTTCACCTTCCCCCCGTAACTCAAGCTTTGGTGTTTGGTGTCAAATAGACTAAATTCACGCATGAAAAGAGTACCTTAAAAATAGTGCAAMGTTTCAGACAACAATATTTATCTATAATGGACAAATCAGTGCAAAACGAAGCTCAAGAATGTTCTRTTTATAACGAATCGTTATAAATTTTGTTGTTCCACCCTCGCAAGTCAGGGATTTATTCTAACAATTGTTAAGTAAATCTTACCTTTGATTTTCTTAAAATGTCTATGTTGTTGTTCAGGGGCAGCGTTTTGCAGTTGGGGGTTAGGGGTAGAGAGGTGGGGATGAGGCCTAATATTCTCTTAATAATAATATAAGTCAAGCAACAAATAGATATCATCAATTTGATGCAAGTTTTTTGAAAATCCTTTGAGATGTTGCGCCGCCTGTGCTGTATCTCATAAGCTCAAACTCCACACTTTTACTAATAGAGCGGATTTCGTATGACTGTGCAAAAGCACGGATCACAACACGGACACGGCACGGCACGGTCACGGAACCTTGCCTTCTAGGATTTCAAATGAAAGTAAAGATTTTTCAATGCATCACGGCTACGGCACGGTACGGACACAGCACGAACGTACCGTGTTTTTTGCACAGTCATACGAAATCCGCTCTAGACCAATCCCTATTTCGCTTGGATGAACACGAAACAATGGCTTCATTTCGAGGCTGCAGTTTTATCTTTTGTCAAAAACTCCAACCTCGAAATGAAGTCATTGCCTTTTCGTGTTCATCCAAGCGAATGTGATTGGTCTATTCTGAGATGCTCTCTTTATTTCTGGATTTTGTAACTGTATGCATCAGCTTTATTTAGTTTAAAAACTTTAATCATTGGCAATAACATCAGGCTTTGATTTTGCTTCAGACTCAGGCTTGCAGCCGTCGATCAAACAGGAAAGCTGGTGTTTTATGATCAAGTCTGGACAGGGAAGTTAATTCGTAAAAAGCTTCGCGGGAACTCGGTGCTGTATGTTGCACCGGTCGACTAAGCAAGAATTTAAGCCATAGTATGAAGTGGTGTAGGTTTACAGGGATAGATCTTTATTATTCTAGCTACTCGTGCCAGGTCTCTGGCCGCACGAGTTAAAGAGTGCAGAGCAATTGTTTTCATTCAATGTGGAGTTGTGAGCCAATCAAGTTAGGAGGAGCCGACAAGTTCCTTTCCGCAAAATTTCTAAAAACGGCAAAATTACATAGCTTAGCTACCTGTGTTTACACTAAAATTTTTGTGAAATTATAGGCCGTTTGCACGTACGAAATCGCTAAAAATAACTGCTTGCTATTTTTATTCATTAACAAAACAAAGAGTATTAACAAACAATTTATCGTTTATAATTTCTTTGTACGCAGGCATAATTTCTAAAAATAAATGAGTCCTCTGCGTTTACTAGTGATATTTTTAATACMGAGCTTTCGGCCTAAGCGGCCATTATCAAGGTAGAGCACACGTAAGATTTCAAACAACGCAAAAAAAATGGAAGCCCTACTGATAGCCAATACCAACTCAGTGCTATCAAACAGAGACACTGGCAGAACAATACCAGAAACATACAAACCATTATTTAAGTTCATTTAAGTTTTTGTTACATATATAATTATCTAATTGCTTCACTGTCATAGTCTGTCATTTCTTTTCTTTTTACTCCATTTCATTTCATTCCATTTCATTTTACATTTTATCTATTCTAATTAGCTCGCGCTGTATTGCTATGTTTCCTCGCGCGCTTTCCGTTTTTTGCGTTGTTTGAAATCTTACGTGTACTCTACCTTGATAATGGCCGCTTAGGCCGAAAGCTCGGTATTAAAAATATCACTAGTAAACGAAAAGGATTCATTTATTTGTAGAATTTATCGTTTGCTATACGCGTCACAACAACGGACATCCTGGTTGAACTTCAAGGATTACTCATTAAGATATCTATTTAACCAACATGGAAAGCGAAAAATTGCTTTGGTTAAAAAATAGGTGAATTATCAAATTAAAGATCACATTGCAATCGCAATAAGAAATTTTATATCTATGAGTAATCATCSGTGGATCAGTTTTCAGAGCTTGTCATATGGTATGGTGTTTTGTATTATTTCCAACTGAAAGGAGCTGGAATAAATTATCATTCTTTCAAAATCGAAATTTCGTTTACAATGTTTTATTCCTCCTCTTTCCTTTTCTGTTGTTAACCAACCTCAAAAGAATATGAAGCATTGTGAATTTTCGCAGAAGCAGATGTCATCATTTTCCTTTCTCTCACTATTGACAAAATCCTGCATCTCGACAAGCGCAGCGTTTATTTAAAAAAAACTGACATACCTTTTCTCTTATTTCACATAATTGAAACGAAATATAACATTTATCATATTTTCATGTGCTTGAGGACAGTTTTCTTTAAATGATAAAAGCTGAAACCTCAGTTAGTTTTAATCCCCTTTTTCCGTGTCTGCTCTGATTAAACAATYTTTTGTCAATGAAAACCTAATTTACCATGATATATGACAGTGGAAAGATTGATTTTCAATTTTAGAACAAAGTTTCGTTGGTTTTTGGTTGAAAAAAAAATTACTTTACTTTACTTGCTAATTGCCCTCTTCATTATAACGTCACATTAAAACATTCTATTGTTTTGACGCTAAGGATTATGTTTGATAGCTTGGATCAGAGTGACTGCATATCAAATAAAATGTACATGAGTAATCTTTCATACATGAAATATATCAAAGGATGACCCATCGAAGTTCTACTTCTGAAAAGAATATCAATAATCTACATTTCCACTCTTTTTAAAAGTGGAAACATTCTGTTACGTAATGAGGATTGATAATTGAACTTCTCCAATATTAAACAATTGCATCTCTCATTYCAATTTTATCAACCTTATACCCTTAAGGGGTAGGCTGAGATTAAGGAGACTTCGAGCCACCTTAAGAACTAACGAAGGTCGACGAGGAAAATTTTACGAGCGATAACTTAAACGTTATTTAAGGTTTGATATCGAGAAAATCAGAAAAAGTTTAATCAGTCAATTTACAGTGGARACTTATCGTATCCCAATTCTCCCCTCCCTAGTTTATATCTCGTCCGAAGATGGCAGGAAATAAGCACATTTAAAGGAGGGAAGCATCATTTCATAATAAACTGTGATCATACCATTACTGAACATTCAGTTTGACCGGTGCCGCTATGTCTAATCAGAGCTCTGTCAATTCCACACGGCAGTGCTTAATAACATTAGACTTCGAGCCAAAAGYCTTATCTGCACTGCCGTCGGCCGTCACCCCGACATGGATAGGCATCAGTTTAATCAACAGTCTAGTGGTCCCYCCGATAGTTGGAATCAACATCTTGATCATTTGGACCGTGTTTGAAGACGAACGACTCCGTTCAGCCAGTTACAACATCTTGCTAGCTGCCCTGGCCTTAACCGACGTACTGGTAGGCTTGATTGCCCAGCCGGCATTTATAGCTCTCAACGTTTGCCTTTTACTCGAGTGCCCATACACCTGTTCGCTGACGAACGCGTATATGCTTTCATCTCTGATATTGTGCTGCTGTTCGATCGCTACCCTGACAGTTGTTTCCGTGGAGCGATATATAGTCATCGAGCATCCCTTCTATCGTTCGGAGGTAAGTGAGTTGGTTACAAAGGATTGACGTTTTTAACTTAGGATAGAAAATGAAATAGCAACTTACGTTCAGAATTGAGCTTAATGACATATAATGAAATTTTTTCAAGGCACAAATTTGTTAAGAAATATTTGAACCTTTTTTTTTCATTTGTTCATTTTATTTGGTGAGACATGAAAGGACTTTGGAATCACTTTAAACATATATGACTTTTGTTAGTTTTAGTGAGTATTAAGTATATTTAGTTTTTTTATTATTGTATGAGGAAGTAGCTGATCCCAATAAAGACTGAATTAAAGATTAAATACTGTCTGATGAGTGCGTAGCACGAAACTCGGAGTAACAGCAAAATCTTGCCTCTTTGATATTATATATATATCCAAATTAAATACTGTCTGATGAGTGCGTAGCACGAAACTCGGAGTAACAGCAAAATCTTGCCTCTTTGATATTATATATATAGTTTTTTTATTATGATTCTTTTAAACTTCAAAATTCTTATTATATTGCTATCAATCTAATTTTATTGCTATTCAAATTCATCTAGTAAGTTTAGTATAAATCCAGCCGCTTTAMAAACTTCATTTGATAAAATCACTTTTGAAAATGACACAAGTTTGTGCCGAAATGTCAAGTAAAACTAACAGTCATATAAGTATAGTTTAAAACACGAGAGAGAGTATAAAACAGGTATAAAACACCTGATAAAACACAATCTAGAGTGTTTTAAACGGCTTCAAAAACTCCAACTGTAATGTGAAACTCAAATCCGTTAAAATTCAGTTCTTGGAGAAATTGCCGTAAAAATAAGTTTTGAGATAAATGGGGCAAACTGATCATGYGCRAATCACTTTACAAAGCAATCTTGTCATCCCACGCTGAATACGCATAAAAAAAACAGAAGCGCTGTTGGCTGTTTACTGAAATCGGTTGACACCGTGGATTATTCAATGATCAGGTAAAAGAATACTAAACTAATAAGGAGTGTTTTATCAGATATAAAGGTCCATACATGTGACAAAATATTGGCCTAATATGAAACTCATTAATTATGTATCAGTTTTTGAATAAAAATATCAAAAAATATATCATATTACCAAATCAAAAGAAGAAGGAAAACTTAATTACGTACAAGGAAAAGGAAGAGACAAAATCCTGAAGAACATTTCAATTAGAATCCAAATAAAAAGTCATTGTTCAAAAAGCGTTATCGATAGCGAATTGACGCTAATATTCCACATTCTATTGTGCGCCGATTTCCTCTTAGTGTTTTTGTTAGGATGTTGCAATTTTTGGGGGGTTTTCACCCAATATATTTTCAGTGATATCAGTTTTACATAATTGATATTACTTTTCAGTAAGCTTCAGTATCTGACATATAGAGGATATTACATATTCGCGCAGGGATACGAAAGTTTTATCTTCGAGTATTGATATTATCTCGAACGTCGAGTGAGCGCAGAGTAAAGTTAATATACGTTCAAATTATAAGTATTTGAAAAATGCCAAAACGTCTTAGAAAAGGTTTTTATCAAAAAATAAAGTTGTAAAAAATACAACATAAGTTACAGAAATGTTTTGAACTCATTGTCTTTTGTCAACTACTTTCAACTACATGATTTATCAATTCCATTGTCGAGTTCATTGAAGAGCGTTGAGCTGTATTGTGGACTCAATGCTTGGATAAAATTCTTGAAAAGTTGGACTTCCTGCGTCGTTTTACGCTTCGTATTAAGAATGTCGACCTTGTAATGTTGTAGTTTGAAATAATTTTATTCAGTTTTACCACTTTTATTGGACTTTTCGCTTTTCACTGCCAAGTCCAGTGCTTGGGCTACCTGTGGYTTTCACAGGTCAATTASAAATTGAAATCGTGGAGACTTTTGGAGACTTTTTTGCCACCACGTTCACTTACTAAATGTTCTTTTAAACAGTGTCTTTCAAAAGCAAGTCACTCCAACCATTACTGAAAAAACAGCAGTTTTTTGAACCAGTAGTCGCCATGTTACAATTTGAATTTGCGACCGGTACAACCGTGGCAAAATATTGTGTTTTTGGCTACTAAAAATAATATTTTATTCTAGATACATAGAGAAATACAAAGATTAATAGTATAAAATCAAATGCTGATCGAGCTTACGTTTATAAATTGTAAAAAGGATCCAGTTTTAGGCCATAATTTTAGGATCACGGCATTTGACCGGAAGTGGCCGCCATTTTGTCAACAAACGCACGCGCGCAAAGCGTTTGGGATACTACTTGAACCTCCTCTGGGTCTTTTCACACTGATTTATCAGTAAATCATTAGTTTAATAGTAATTGATACAATTTATGGACATTGTATGCAAACTAGATGAAATCATTAATTTATAATTAGCAAAATCAAAGATGACGGACAATATTTTTATTTTCATGAGAATAAGTAAATACCATGATTTGATTAAACTATATATGATAAACTACTATTAGTTGTTTCCAGTCGATTGATGTTTGTTTTTAAAAAAAATTATGCAGAAAAGAATAACTGAAAAAATTCCAAGATGGCGGATCCAAGATGGCGGATCATTAGGAATAAAAAAATATACTAAATCTATTTTTTTTTTGTACATTTTTTATCACAAACACTACACACATGTTGTTAAACATTGCTGTTTAAGAAGATTGCTATTTTCTGGCGAGTAAGTATGGCACTAAAGAAATACTTATTTGTTACGCAATGTGAACAATAAATTGCTATTTTCTGGCGAGTAAGTATGGCACTAAACAAATACTTATTTGTTACGCAATGTGAACAATAGTATGACCTGTTCTTTCCTACTTCTGATGTCCCCAGTGACCTATTCTTTCTATACCTTTGATGTCCCCAGTGACCCGTTCGATCTCTCCATACTTCTGAAGTACCCATATTTGTCAGTGGTCTCCGCATTTYTCAATCACCTTTAGCCAATCCAAAACATTAATCAAATTAAAATAGTGATCTGCGCAAATATTTATTCTCGTAGATTGACTTGTAATTTGAGTATAGGTTGCATTTAATGTAATTGTATTATAGCAATCGTTACTCGAAGTCGTTCAATAATTCATATCTATATCTTTATCAAGGTGACTGTGTCAAGAGTTTTGGTGGCGACTGCGCTGAGCTGTACAGTCTTGTCCTCAATCTTAGTGGTGACTAGGTTACTGTCCGATATCTCATACAGAKTCAGGCAGATACCAGTKGCAGGGATCATTTGTTTTTGCTCTCTCATCATACTGTTCTGTGTCAGTAAAGTCTATGCCTCATCAAGACGACAAAGGGCAACCATCCAAGCACTACAGGATTCCCTCTCGCAAGAAGAAAAAGACCAAGCACGAAAGCGACTGAGGGAKTTCAAGAACTACCTCTGTTTGGGAATGGTKGTATTTTCAATGGTGATCCTCTACATACCAGCCTTGATTACCAAAGTTATTGCTGTGTCACTTGGTAAAGACGTCACCCCAGCTTTCCAGTACATTAGCCAGTTTATCTGGKTRACGTGTATCTATCTTCAGTCACTTGCCAACCCAATCATCGTGTCTTTGCGGCTATCATATATCCGGAAAGGTGTGTTTAACAAGTTACTTTGTAGATATTGACATGTTACTAATCTTGAAAGCTATGCTAAATTTGATGTACAATATCTTTTCATTCATTCGTTTAGGAGCACCTTAGATACTTAGGTCTATAGTAAGATCTTACAGAACGATGAATTCAAGATTTTGTACAGAATATAAATTTATTTTAATTAGCCACTTCAAAATCATTAAAGAATTAAAGGTATCATGGGTACATAGTCTTGTTTGAATACTGTACTCTGAAAATCACTCAGGGTACAAAACAGGGCTGACATATATATGGGAGCGGTCCGTTTCAGTCTGTGATTTTGGAAATACCTGATACGGTATTCTGGGACAACTGAACAAAACCGGGCAACACACACAGCACACAGCACACAGCACAAGCATATCCCATGATACTTTCTSGGTTAAGTTTCCTTATTTTTTGAAGTGAGGAACTATGGTTGGATCCAGGGGGGGTTGGATTGGGTGGCTAGCCACCCCCTTTTTATTTGCAAAAATATGTAGACTTGCCTTTTATTCGTTCTCAATCTCTACAATACAGGTCGGTTTGTCCTTATAACCTGATCTATTTCGGGTTCTTGTTTCGTGCCGATTTCTCTGGCCTCAAACACGATGGCTTCACCCTGACGCTCGACTGAATCTGATCTCCATCCTAAACACATGGGTGAACCCCACCCACAATTCCCGGGGACGTGTTCCACAGGAACCCCACGCTACAAATATATAAAGGCTTTAAGTTTTGAAAAAAAAAGGAATTAAATTAATAACAGGATTATTGTATAACGAAAAATATGTATAATTACTTCGAAAAAAATATAGTGAGAAGAACTATTTGATGTATCTGATGTTTATATATTTATAAATATCTTTCATATAAAAGTTTGTTGAAAAGTCCGAAATATTATAGGTGTGCCCGAGATAACGATAAACGATAATTTCATCTGAGTCTAAAGAGTCAAATTAATTGTAAACGTACTTTAATGTTAACCACCCCCCTCTGAAAAATCCTGGATCCGCCCCTGGGTCATTCCTGCATCAGCGCGTAATAATCTTGGCTCCTAAAGGTTGTTAAACTACGTCTATCTCCTTSACATTTAGTTAATACAGTGTTAATAAGTTAATAGTAGATCTCAGTGTTAAGTGATTTGTCAGCAGTTTATAGTTTGGTCTAGAAATTCAAATATCATTATTATTGAATTTTTGTAAGTAATTACTTTAGTTTAAGTTTATGACGCAGTTTAAAAATGTTCACGTGATCGATACTTGTAGAATAAGCCAAGGTCTTCCTAAACGGGGAATTCCCYTMAGTATGGAGTTATGCCATAATTGGTTATTGTTTTGGTTAATATGAGATTATTATTTGGGTTTCGTCTCATTTTGTAAAACGTATATCAAGCAATGTAAGAATAATAGTCGTTAGTCAGTCCAGAGCGTCAAACAAGCATGTAGTAATAAAGCAGAACATAACAGAAACTAAGAGTAACGTTTTCACTGCCGACGGTCC